AAATACATATATATAAAGATGTCATGCAACTGTGGAAGGTCAAAGTTCATCCTGAAATATAGAAATGATAAAAGCATGGACGCATGACAAGTACGATCCAACACAAAGCATCCACTCATGTAGCGGTTATCACTTTGCTCTCACAAACAATTTATCTGCTTCAGTGAGCCACAGCTTGGAGTTATCCAGTGACAGACTACTTTCAAATCAAAATTCTGTTGAGAGAAATCTGCTCCAGCTGTAGTTTTTCCACTCCAGCCATGATGGAGCAATGCTCGCTCTAATATGTGGTGAAAAGTTAACTTTATGACCTTACCTTTGACTTCCAGCTCAGTCTTGGTTTCAGCCTGCTCTCTCACGTGAGTCACTGTGAAGAAAGCCATGACATTTATTCCCTTTTCATCAACACACTGATCCCAACATGGGCAGATGTAGACACACATTTCTTTCACATATAATGTACATTTACATGTGTACTGACAGTTTTCTACCCCTCTTAATGTCTTTCCCTACAGAAAGTATTGCTCCCATATCTTTATTCTGAGCAGGTCTCAGAGTGTTTGGATAATTTTCTATTTTTTTCTTTTCTGTTTTTAATACTGCAGTGCGCTCAAACACACTCAAATAAATGTAAGTCTTACTGTAGCTGCCTTGAAGCAAATTCACATTCTGTATCTGAAAATGAGTCAGGTTACTAACTTCTGTCAGTTCCTGTTTTGAGGCTTTTTTGTTAAATTTTTCTGATTGAAAAATAATTTCAGAGAATCAAACCCACTAGTAACTAATGTGACAGTGAATGTTGCACCTCAGTTCAGGACATCCTCTCAAGTTTTGCTTGGAGCTAATTAGGACGGGTTACCTTCTTCGTTTATGGTGAGTGTGGCTGAGCACCTGGCCTGTTCAGCAGTATTAGCAGTCTTACAGGAGTACTGGCCAAAGCATCCACTACGACGAGAGTGGCAGTGTTTTCATTCTTGTTAGGCTAAACCGAGTGTTGGTTGTGGAACCAGCTTATTTCTGATTTTGGCATGCTAGCTACGCACAGATAAAAGTGGGCCTCCCCCCATGTGGCACTGTACAGCTTGTGATTGGTTGGATGAAATTGGCTTTTGGCAAATTGAAGGTATCTTTAGGTGAGTGATGTTGGTGGTGGCTGATCTGTCCCACGTTCATTGGCTCAGTGTACTTTGTTCTATTTACATCCCAGTAAGCACCATTTGTGTGATCTGTCAGGAGCTGGGAATAAGGGAATATCTTCTGTCCTTTCACAGCATAACAAAAACTACAAACTAAACTAACTAACTACAAAAATACTCAAAACAACCAAAACTATTTGGACCAGAGCAAATGATCCCTCACTATCATGGCTGAGCGCCCCCACTAGCATTTCAAATCACTAAACTGAAACTGACTGAGGGCTCATGAGGTCATATTTCAGTAAAGAAAGCGTTGATAAAAACTTTGACACAGAACTCAGGTGAAAAAGGAAAAGGTATACACAATGATATTTACTTGTTTGTATTTTTATGAAAGATTGTTCCCTGAGCCACACCTTGTCATAAACGACAGGGAACTCTTTCTCCAGTTATTCTTCTTTTCTCCTTTATTTGGTCACCTTTCATTGCATTCCTATATAACTATAAAACACATTGCAATGGGAGTAATTTTACAAAGTTAATTCTACATGGTTGATAAACACTTCCAACACAAAAGCCCACATTTTTCTCATTTTTATTATTATTCATTTTATGATCCTCCAATGCCACCATAGGCAGTACGATGGGTTCTTTCCGGGTACTCCATCTTCCTCCCACAGTCCAAAGTGATGCAATTAGTAGTGATAGGTTAATTGGTAACTCTAAATTGTGAACACCTCTAAAGGTGTGAATGTGAGTGTGGATGGTTGTCTGTCTCTATGTGCTAGCCCTGCAACAGACTCGCGATCTGTCCAGGGTGTGCCCTTCCTTAGACAGCTGGGATGGGCTCCAGCCGATGGATGGATGAATGCCATCATTACACAGGCAGATTTTTTCCCTTTTTCCTTTGCCCACTGTTGTTGCTGTTGAGATTCACTTTAATGTATAACTTAATCCTAACCTCAAAGAACAAGTTCTGAAAACTGAATGTGCAGGATTTGTTATCGCCAGACAGCACAACACCAAATCATAATCTACAGATTCAGTGAGAGTGTGTTGATCTGAAACCAGCACTGCTGTGAGCTTCTGTTAGTGACACTTCAATTGTCTCAGAGTAAGAAAAGCAGCCTTTGTTTTTAGTAATAAACTCACCGTCTAATGTAAGAGTTGCAGAGCAGGACACCGTCCCTCCATTGTTTGTGGCCATGCAGGTATACTCGCCCTCGTCCTCTGGATAAACCCTGGAGATCTCCAGCTGACAGCTGTCATCAAACTGAGATATCCTGAAGAATTCGGACTGTTTGATTTCCTTTTTCTTGTGGAACCAGCTTATCTTCACATCTTGATGGTTGACAAAGGAAAAAGCACGGCTTGGGTAAATATACTGCAGTAAATTTGCACTGTGGGTCAACAGCAAGAGTAAATAAGTCAGAAGGTGGTTAATTAGTCACGTGCCATAATCAAGTTTCAGTGAAGTCCCAATGGCTTCAAGAGAAGACCAAAGGACACACTACTACTGAAACTTATGCGTAGGTAGGAAATTCCATTCACAGGAAGTGGCCACAGGTTTGAATAAAGTTTCAACTTAAAATTCTGTGCAGCGTAACTACCAGGAACTGAGCAATACCATCACTTTGTTTCAGTATTAAAAAAATCACAGCATCACTCAATAAGAAATTGTATTTTTTACCATCTCCACGGACTTTGCACTGGAAGCAAGCTGGTGCGCCCTCGCAGGCTGAAGTGCTGGCCATGGGTGAGATGATGACAGGGGGAGCAACAGTGGCGGGGGAGTCTGGAGAAACCACCTCTGAAACTGCAACACAAGAACCTGAATCAGTACAGATACAGCCACTTACAATGTCTGCCTGGACCCTGGCAGGGCCATGGTGGGTCCTCGGCCAATCCTTGACTGGTCTCCTTGATGGTTGCTATATTGCCGCCTGTGACGTGGACCACACAACTATGAGTAGTAACGCCCTTAATGAGCAATCAGTGGTAAAAGCATGTGTATCCACCAGGGAGAGCAGTGTGGAGGCTCCCCTGCAGGCTTGCACTGCATATTCATACACTTTCTAGTTAGTTGGTTGGTTAGCGATGCAAAAACTCCACACGCTGTCAGGTAAGAACACTCTTATACAAATAGTCTTCTTCTTTATCTTTTCCAAACTTTTGGGAAACTTTTTTTCTTTTCGTATTTTAGTGCTTGTTGTTCTGCTGCCCTACATCATTTGCATTATATTGAAGCTATCATCACCTCTTAATGATCACGTTGAATTAATAATAAAGTGCAACTTAAAAATATGCAGAAGTCATTTCCACCTTCTGGTACGATCTGACCTATTTCTGGTGGAGAGTTGTGTCCATGAAAACTGTGATGTTGGGCTAATGGCGAGAGCATGCACTCTACTCAGGAAAAAATGCCGATTTCAGCAGAAACCAACAATCTGTTTTATACAAAACTGACTATCAAGTCCCATCCATGTCTCACCTTCAACATTGAGTGTTGCAGTGCTTGTGGCAGTGCCATACTCGTTCTTGGCCTCACAGGTGTAGACAGCAGCGTCTTCAGGAAAGACCTCGATGAGCAGCAGTGTGTGCTCGTTGCCATCGTGCAGGAACTTGCACTTGAAGCCAGCGGAGAGAGCCTGGGAGTTTTTGTACCAGAAGACCTGAGGCTGGGGAACACCGCTCACCTGGACTGAGAAGCGAGCTGGTTTTCCAGCCTCCACCGACTGGGGCTCCATGTGGCGAAGGATCTGAGGAGGCTCGGGGACTGAACGAGGCAGAATATTTTAGAGGTAAAGTTTAACTGGAATATACGGATATATATGAAAACTACATAATTGTTCTGTTTCCATTTGTGTTAGTTTGCTCCTTGTTCAAAGCTTCTTGCTCCATCCTCTCATGTCACTTCCCCTGTATTAAGTTCATGTGTGTCTATGTATTTGGTCACCATATTTCACTTCCTGTGTTATTTGGATTCTTTGTCCTCTGTGCCTTGCTTTTAGTTTTCTCATCATCCATTTCTTTTCAGCTGTGTTTTGCTTTCATCACATCTCCACTTTCCTGATTGCTGTTCTCTGTGGGTGGATTTAATTTTCCCTTTTGTGCTTCATGTTTTGTTTCCTGGACCTTTTGTAATGTAATATAAATTGCTTTCTTGTGTCCAACCTTCCGTGTGTGCATTTAGGCCTGCTAGAACCTTCAGCTGCACTTCTGCATGTACAGCGGTCCCTCGTTTATCGCGGGAGTTACGTTCTAAAAATAACCTGCGATAGGCGAAAGTAGCCAACTTTATTTTTTACAATTAACATAGATGTTTTAAGGCTGTCAAACCCCTCACTACACACTTAATACACTTTTCTCTCTTATTTAAATATTCTCAAAGTTCAGGCCTTGTAGAAAAATAAGTCCAGTATTACAGAATGAAACCAAAGGGACCCGCAGGTGACGACGTTTTCAGCGTTGTTGTGTTTGTTGGGGAGAAAACTTCCCGTCAGAGTCACGCTGCTAGCAATCGAAGATTTATGTAAATTTGACAAGCTGAACGCATTCTGTACTGTACAGGAGACACAGCACGAGATTAATTGACAACGCGCTGTAAAAAACCCAAAAAACTAAATTGCACCAAAAAAAATCTGCGAAACCGCGAAAGGCGAACCGCGTTATAGCGAGGGAGCGCTGTATATACTTGAGCTTGTACATATATACGTTTAACCCTGTGATTAGAGAAAAGTCCTAAAAAAATTCAAACCCAGTTCTAATTTTATTTAAGTCATTAAAGATATATGCTGAACAGACATTTTACCCTTAAAAATAGCAGCTCAAAGAAATAATTATAAAGCCAAAATGGTGAGAATGATGAGTGTATGTAACCTTCAAAGCACAATTGTATTGAAATAAATGGCCTTTTTAGAAACAAACAAACAACCAGTTTTTATGTGTTCATACTGTACATCATTCTTTCTGTGTGACGTCACGCTGGACTTACTGTTTATTCGAAGCTGCATGGTGCTTCTATTTTTGCCAGCGATGAAGGTGTACTCCCCAGCATCACTCCTGTAGGTCTCTGAGATGGTGAGGCGATGCAGCTTCCTGATGGTCACGTAGTTAAATCGTTCTTCCATCGAGAACTGGATCTCCACACCGTTCTTCAGCCAGTGACCCTCCACATCTTCTTCATTCACTTCAAACTCAAAGGTTGCACGGTGTTTCTCCAGAACCTAGGAGGGGATAGTGAAATATTTACATTTCTATCTCTGTTCAATTCAATTCAGTTTTATTTATATAGCGCCAAATCACAACAACTGTCGCCTCAAGGTGCTTTATATTGTAAGGTAGACCCTACAATAATAGAGTTAAGGCCCTATTTTCTGTTGAAAATGTCAGTAAATACAATCACCAAGCACCCAAAATTCTACTATTTAAGTTGCTTTTTAAAATGTGAGTGCAGTAAAACATGCTGTGGGGGACTGACAAACCTGAGCGGGTCATATGTAAACATTAATAGTTATTTTTTATTTTTATGGCCAATCGTCACTGCTTCCACAGAGAGAACAGAATAATATCTAAATATTTACACACTGTTTCTAGTGTATCTTTATGCCTTATTACTTTAAGGCATATTTCTAAATAAGAAATAAAAGAGAAATAAAAATGTTAATGTCAGGTTCAGTATCTGTAAACTTCGCCCGTGTCTTTCCAAGCTAAAACATATAGATGCACCACACTGACACTAACTTCTCTGCGTAACGCCTGTGGTTGTGAAACAGAGCAGCTTTGGTTGCAAAAGTTAACTTAGGATTAAAATAAGATGAAACTCATTGCAATTAAATAAATGAACAGTCTTAAAAAAACAGCGAATCGCCTTTAATCCTCAAACTGTGATTACCTGAAAGACAGAAGTTTTATTCTGAAACATCAGTAAATGAACTTTAAAACCACTTCACCGTAATTTCCCGCTCAGGAGGTTCCGAGATCCGAATGTCGCGACCCTCCACTGTGAGCCGGGCCTTGGAGACGCTTGATCCAGCTACCACTGAATATTCCCCAGCATCAGACATTCGAACCGTCTGGATCACGAGGCGGTGAACATACTTCTCTGCTGTCACAATATACCTTTGGATTCAAGGCAGAAGATATCCAACTCACAATTAACCTCTAAAAGCTTTCATTGTCCAAAGGAGACGCTGGGAATAGTGATTTTCAGATTAAGTGTGGCCAAACTTTGACGAGCACTGACAGACCTTTCCTCAGACATGTCCATCTCCTGACCGTCCTTCATCCACATCACCTGGATGTTTGGCTCAGAAACCTCACACTCAAAAATCGCCTTCTTCTTCTCTGTGATCTTTATGTCCTTGATCTTCTTGGTGAATTCAATCACACGAGCTGAAAGAACAACATTTTCAGAGACGTTTCGTAGCATTTCTCACCTCTACAGACTGTAAACGTGCTCAGCACCAGGTTACCTTCGACAAAGAGATTAGCAGTGGTGGCAGCAGAGCCGGCCACAAACTTGTACTCTCCTCCGTCTCCAAAGTGAACGTTTCGGATGGTGAGGGAGTGCGTAAGCTGCCGACTGCGGACCTGGCACCTGTCCGACGACTTCATTTCCACGCCGTTCTTCAGCCATTTGTACGTGATGCCTTCATAGTTGACGGTGACCTCAAAGGTGATAGTGTCTCTCTCTTGGGCATTCAGGTCCTTCAGCATGGAGGTGATCAGAACCGCTGGAGGACGAAATTTGAGGGAAATACAAAAAGACACATTCACTGTGTTTGCTTTTGAAGAATTTCAGCTATTACTGTATGCAGTTATTCAGATATGCAGCTCAAATATATAGCGAGAATTCTGAAACTTTAAAGCTTAAAATATGTTAAATTAGGTGATTATATAATTTAGAAATTATTTTAACCCCCCTTTTGTGTCTCATTCTGATACGGTATTTTCATATCACGTTGTGGGAGGTCAGAATTCTTACGGTTGACGGTGAGTGTTGCAGACACTTGGTCGTTGCCACAAATGAAGGTGTACTCTGCAGAGTCGTCCCTGCTGGTGTTCATGATCTTCAGCTGATGGAGTTTTCCCTGAACCACAATCCTGAACTTGTCACTCATCTCAATCTCCACTCCGTTCTTCAGCCAGGTGGACGGCACATTGAAGTGGGAGACTTCACACTCGAATGTGGCCACTTGAGTCTCTGGTACCTCCACACTTTTCATGGGTTTAGTGACCTGCAGAGCTGCATGTAGTAAATCAGGTCACAAGACATGAATAACAAAAGATTAGACAAATATTCTTCTCGTCTCAAACACCATAAACATTCTTTATATTCTTCAGTAAGTGGATGGACTGCTTTTCACTCTACCTGCAATCTGTGGTTATTTGTTTTTGATCTAACATTCATACTCTGATGGATGTGTCAGAGAGCAGCTTGGAGTTACTATCTTGCGATCTAAATGCAAGACTTCACATGCAGTTTGTCTTATAGTGCTACATACCCTCCACGGTGAGTACAGCACTGCACTGCAAGTGTCCAACCACAGCCACGTACTCTCCTGCATCGCTGCTGTCCAGATTCTTCAGGATCAGTTTGTGTGCTTTCCTCTCAGACAGAATCTTGCACTTCTCACTTGACTTCAGCTCCAAACCTTTAAACATCCACCTAACAGGGATGTTGTCATGTGAGAGGCTCATCTCAAAGGAGGCTGTGCCATCCAACAGAGACGTCGCATCTTTTATCTTCTTCACAATTTTGATTTCTGCAGGAAAAAAGTAGCAGATACCACTCATGTGATATGATGATATGATGATACCTGACAACATTGTGCACAATTCTTGGTTATGCTGATAAAATCTGACACTTACTCTCTACGTTGAGTCTGGCATTGGCAGAAAGTTTTCCAAGTTTGAAGGAGTAAACAGACTCGTCCTGTATGTTGCAGTCCTTGACCTTCAGCGTTTGGACCACGCCACTGGAGACGATCTCGTACTTTTCGCTGTTTTGCAGTTCCACCCCGTTCTTAATCCACTGGGATCCTTTCACATCGGGGTGTGTGAGCTCCAGTGTGAACACTGCTTCCTGGGTCTCCGTCACGGTCTGGTTCCTCAGAGTTTTCTTGATCTTCACTCCTGCATATAAATATAAAGCTCTGCTAACTTTAATGTATACACACGGAGGTGATTCGTTAGTTTTGGAAGCATTTTAGTTCTGTCAGGAGAGGTGGGACAGACAGAGACTGAAGTCCCCCCGGCTTACCTCTCATCACATCTGAGAGTACAAGTTCTTAACATCCAGCCTCTTATGTTAAAAGTGATGCAGAGTGCTAAATGGAGTCTATCTGTATGTGCTTTTACTCATAAATCATCTTTGTTTTTAATCAAACATACAATAGAGATATAAGTCTAATTAATATGAGGAATGAAACTTATTCTAATGTGCAGATATTATCCAGCTTCATCCTTGGCACATTGGTGTCACACATGATTGTATGATACATGAAGTATGTTGCAAGTGTTAAACACAGATTAACATGAGGGGATTTTGCTGGTGGTTAATCGTGTTTCGCTTCCTAATAGTGATCAGAATATAATCAGGTATAAATTTAACCAGCATACAAATAAGAAAATATAATCTATAATAATGATTCTAGGTGCAGGCCTCTCACTGAGTGTGTGTGTGGAGATGACCTCAGAGGCTGTGGGTGTGTGTGGGTGTGGAGGATGGGAGGGGGAAGTGAGCGAGCCGGAGGAGCCACTAATCTAAAAGAACGTCTGATTTTTCAATAACTACTTTTATTTTGATTGTCGTATTTAATTTACCTCAGTATGTTCCCGGTAAACGTCCTGTTTTATTTATCTTGGTTATGTGAACACTATGTGTGTGTGTGGTAGTGGGAAGCTAGTACTTACCCTCCACCCTGAGATTAGCTGTAGTTTTGGAGTTGGCCACCTGGTAGGTATACTCTCCGACATCCTGTGGCCTGGTAATGTTGATGATGAGGCGCCTGATGGCTCCGTTCACCTCACTCACCACATTCTCATTGAAGTCAATGGGCTGGCCCTCCTTAAGCCACTTGCCCTCAGCATTGGCATTTGCAACTTCACACTCAAGCTCAGCAGTCTGAGACTCCGCCACTGTCACATCCTGCAGGGGCCGTGTAATGGCTCCACCTAATGGCAGCAGAAAGTAACATTTCTGTTTCACTTCTGACCACATGTCCTAATCACAGAAACAGCAAATGCCAACACACACAATCTTCTGTCATAATAAAAAAAACAGCTGCTTTAAAATAATCCACGTTTTTGTCAGAGATGGGTATGGGTAGGTATAAATGTCAGCAAAATGTGAAATGTGTACCAAAAATTAAGTAACAAATTATCATCTAGTGTGTGGATTTCCCTTATCTGAAGTGGCAGGTCAAGGAGCAGCAGTCTGAGAAGAGACCAAACCTTCTTCTTCCCACCCACTTCCTCCATCCACGGTTACACCAAGTAATTCCCAGGCCAGCCAAGAGACATAATCCCTCCAGCATGTCTCGTGTCTACCCTTCCTCGAACACCTCACCCAGGAAACATCAGATGCACGAACCACCTTACCTGGCTCCATTCTATGTGGAATGAATCCCTCTCAGATAACTGAGCTCCTATATCTAAGCCTGAGCACAGCGATCCTTCAGAGAAAACTAATTTCTGTGCCTTGTTGTTAAGATCTCATTCTTTTGATCATTACCCAGAGCGTGTGACCATAGAACAGAGTAGGGACGTAGATCAACCAGTTTATCAACATCTTTGCTTTTACACCCACCTCTCTCTTCATCACAGTGGTAGGTTACAGTGTCCAAATCGCTGTAGTCGCAGCACTAATCCATCAATCCCCTACTTCCCTCTCCTCTCACTCTGAACAAGCCCAGGATTCTTAAATTCCTCCACAAAAACTCATCTCTGGCCCAGAAGCAAGCAAGCAATGGATACCCCATGTTCTCGAATGCCTTCTCCTAATCCACAAAACACTTGTAGAATATGCTTGAATATTCTTGAGAGGATAGAAAACTTGTCCAGCTCTTTACGTTGAGGAATACAACCACGTTGTTCATCTTCAATCTGAGGTTCAACTAACTGATGTACTCCCTTCTCCAGTAATCTGGCATAGATCCTCCCAGGGAGGCTGAGGAGTGCGATCCCCTTTCTTGAAGATGGGCACTACCACCCCAATGTGCCAGTGAGTCTTTTTTAAAATCAGTGATTGTGTAAATGATTTCATCTGAGTAAAACACACAATATCCATAATATCTTAAAAGTTAGACATACCAGAGACAGTAAGCTTGGCACTAGATGTCTTTTCACCAGCATGAAACATGTACTGGCCCTCCTCATCTTTCATGGCGTCAATGACTGTCAGAGAGTGAGCCTTTCCCTTTGACTCAATCTTGGATTTGGGTCCAGGTTTGATTTGCTGGTTCCTGAATGTCCAGACTGAGTCAATTCCAGGGTGAGAGACTTCAACATTAAACGTCACATTCTGGGACTCTGAACACACTTTGTCCTCCATGTGTTTCACAATGTGTACCTCTGTAAAAATGAAATGGTTAGAGTATGAAAGTGAGACTGGAACCTAAAAACAGTATCACGCTGAAAGTACAATGCTGTGAAAAAGTATTTGCCCCCTCCATGATTTTTTTGTATATATTTTTCTCACACTAATATTTTCAGTCAGCAAAATTTACACTAAGTTTAGACCAAATGATAATTTAATTCTTTAATGAAAAAAGGTGCCTGAACTTACATGGCTTTATGTGAAAAAGTAATTGCCCCGCTTGTTAAATCACTAATTAACTGATTAGCCACATATTTTGGAAAGCCGAGTTCAATAGTCACACCCAGAGCTAATTACCAACAGACCTGTTGACTAGGGATGGGTACCGGTATCCGGTGCCATTATGGCACTGGTTCTGACATAAACGGTAGTAACCAGACCGAAAAGCACACATTTCGGTGCTTTATTTTTCCTGAGATGTGATACACTTTAGATTCTAGCCAATCATTTTACGTTTCCAAGGATAGTGGGCAGGCCCAGGTACGTACGTTCTTTTAGAGCAGAGCTACAGATTAAAAATGCCCAAGTCGAAGCGGTCAAAAGTCTGGCTGTACTTCACAGCAAAAGATGAAAACTCAGGAGCCTGCAACAAGTGCTTTAAGCTGATACTGTGCAAAGGAGGTAACTCCTCGAATCTGACAACGAACCTGGCGACGTATAGCGTTTTGTTAAAAGCCGAGAAATGCGCCGTATTTGATAGCTTGCTGCGAGACCTCACACCAAGCACATCTACTGCGGGTGTGGTGCCTGTTATCAGACCCGGAGTTAGCAACATCCCCCGAGAACCCGAAGAGGAGAGTCCTGGCCCAAAAAGGCTAAAATGACCAAAGAAAAAGTGGGAAACAGTTAAACATGAGAGGTTTTTGGACAAAGTTTGTGTTTTTTTCCCATTGTTTAAGCACTGCTTCCAGCCAAGAGTGATGCCATAAATCCCCTATAGCTGCAGAAAAGGCTAACATTGGTATCTTTTTACAAAAAAACCCAGCTAAACATGAGAGGTTTTTGGACAAAGTGTGTGTTCTCCATTCTTTAAGCATCTGAAAGCACCGTTTCAAAAGTACCGGTTTGGTACTGGTATCGTATAAAACCTAAACGATACCCATCCCTACTGTTGACAGACTCCAAAAAGGCACTGATTACTCTTCCAGGAGGTCACAAAAGAACCCAAAACAGCCTCTAAAGAACTTCAACCTTTTACAGCCACAGTTAAAGTCAGTGTTCATGATTTAACAATAAGAAACATAAGTGCAAATATGGCATCCAAGGGAGACGTTGACTACAAAAGACACAGTTGACCAAAAGGCAAAAAACATTACAATGATTATGCACCCACACGGTGATCTGAAGCACTTTAGCAAATCCACCTTTAAACTGGTCAAAAAACAAAATAAAGGTTCAGGAGTCAGTCAAATCCAGTTCAAATCTGGACTGGGATCCTGTTGTGATGCTTTGGCGTGACTTTAAACAGACCGTTTATGTTCAAAAACCCTCCAATGTGGCAGAGTTAAAACAATTCTACAAAGACGGCAGACAACATTCATACACAGTGATGTGGAAGATTCAATGTTTCATTGCAGTTCTTCCTGCCAAGAGTGGCCTTACCAGTTATTTGGTTAGGATAGGCCAGATAGGTTTGGATAGCTTTTTGCCTTAACAGATAAAATCGTCATTTAAAAACTTTAAAAATTTTTGCCTTTACTTGGGTTATAATATCAAAATGTGTTTAATGATCTGAAATATTTAAATATGAGATATATGAAAAACAAAATCTAGAAGGTGACATATACTTTTTCACTGCACTAAAAATCTTTCTTACCTTCAACCGTCAGGCTACAGCTGGTGTCAACCTTGCCAACAACTAGTTTATAGTGACCCTGATCAGATGCAAAGGTTCTGGTGAAGACCAGCCGCTGCTTTGCGCCCTTTGCCACCATTTGGATTCGGTCACTGGGCGTCAACAGTTTGTCATTATGGTACCATTTGACAGAGCTGATGTCCTGGGCAGAGATCTTAGCCTCCAGGACAGCCTTTGTGCCTTCAATAGAGGATACATCCTTCAGTGGCACTACAATGTCAATAGCTGTAAGAAAGAGCAATAAGATGACAGTCAAAAGTCACAATTTCTTTTAACAAAATATTTTTAAGTTTATATTCAAACCCAATTCTAACTCTTACTTTGAACACTGAGTTTGCCTGAGGTGGAGATGTCCTGGGCAGGAACCACAAAAGAGTACAAGGCAGCATCTTCTGTGCTGATATTCTCCACCAGCAGCTTGTGAACCATCTTGTCAATGACAATGTGGATACGTTCCGAGGCAGAAATGGCCTGGCCGTTCTTCATCCAGGTTCCCTCAACATTCTCTTGGGAAAACCTGACCTCCAGCTGAGCAATATCACCCTCACAGACTATCAGATCAGTCAGGGGCTGCATCAGTGTCACTGGACGCACTGAAGGCAGAGGTAAAAACATGTAATCAGACAATTACCCACAATGTTTTTCAACAGGTTAAAGTTGTGAAACAACAGAACGCTGTTGAAATACACTGATGAAAATTCTCTTGTTTGCCAGCAGCAGTAACATGCACTTCACATTTTAAGCTTACGTTTCATTTTTAGTGAGGCACTGGTCTTCAGATCACCGCATACAAAGGTGTATTTTCCCTGGTCCTCTTTCCTGACATCCTTGACAGACAAAGTGTGTCTTCCTCGACGTGACGATATGATGTATTTATTGCTGGGTGAGAGAACTTTGTCTCCAAAGAGCCAGCTGCCCTCAGCATCTTCACGAGATAACTCGACCTCAAACTCGCCAGCATAGGATTCTGGTACCTCAATGTTCTCCATTTGTTTGATGAGCTCGAGAGCAGCACCTGGATACAGAACAACATACCGAACCATTTTTATGTAATTTACAGGAACAGGACAGTTCCGGTGGATATTCTAGATAAATTACCTTCCACGTGAAGCCTTGCACTCGTTCTTATGTTTTCATCATCTGCAATCACACAGGTGTATTCTGCGTCATCCCTCATTTCAATCATTAGCACAGATAGGAAGTGGACTTTTCTGTCAGAGTGCATTCTGTATTTGTCTCCTGAGAAGATCTCCGTGTTGTTCTTAAACCATTTGACTCTGACGAAGGGTTCATTGGTTTCACACTCAAAGGTCACCATGGTATCCTTCTCCTTGGCACTCGTATCCTCCAAGTTTTGGGTAAAGCTAACTGCTGTCTTGGCTGCAACAGCGAAATGAAGAAGACAAATACAAATCAAGACAAAGAAAATTTAGCATGGCGCAGAAATGATTTTAGATGAACTTGCTTTACCTTGTACAAGCAGGAAGGCATGACTTGAGGACTCCCCAGCAATATTAATGGCCTTAACCATGATGCTAGCAGAATCTTGTGTTTCGACATCTCTTATGACCAATTCACATACATTGTCCTCAGGCCAGTACCAGTAAATACGGTCAGACTTTTCCAGCTGAATGCCATTCTTGAACCACTGACACTCAGGTTCTGGTCTACCAACTACTCTGACTCTGAAACGAACCTCATCCATTGGAGCAACAGTCTTGCTTGCAATGCGTTCCAGGATCTTGGGTGCTTCCATGCTGGGAGAGAGCAGGACCCGTTCAGGTTTTATTGTGGGGATAGTGAGTTTACCCTCTTCCTCCATCCTCTTCCTTTCAGCTTCTTCTTTCTCTTTCATGTGATGGAGCAGCTCCTCTTTAGTCTTCTTCAATAGGTCTTCATAAGAGTCATCCCTCCTGCGAGACTTAAGCTCTACAGCCGAGATAGACTCATAGAAACCCTCCTCTGTTCTGCGCTTGAACTTGCTCTTCAGTTCTTCAGACTCCTCTGAAGTTTTCTCATGAAGAATTCTCTGTGTCTTACGCAGCTTAACCACTTCCCTGTCTTGTGAAGCCTCACTAGGTCGGTCCATCTTCACAATATCAAATCCAATCTTGCCAGGCTCGTGTGTAGCCTCTGCAAGTTTTGGTTCTGGTGCACGACGCAGGACAGATCTAAAGTCTTCCCTCTGCTGGATCTCTAGCTTTACTGTGTGCTCAGCTGTTCCTAAAGGATTGTCAGCAACCACCCTAACCTCTCCTGAGTCATAGGACTTGATGTCAACAATCTCTAAATAGTAAATACCATCATAACGGAGTCTATATCTCTTGCTTTTGCGGATAAGTTGTCCGTTGAGGTACCAATTAACCTTTGGTGCTGGATAACCAGTTACTCTGCAGCGGAATCGTGCAATGTTGCCTTCCAGCACTCTTGCTGGTTCAGGAAGCAAGACAATATCAGGTTTTGTCTTTTCAGATTCTTCATCAGCGCCGACTCCTGCAGGTCCTCCCTCATGAGCCATGCGCTCAATCTCATCCATCCTATATGCTCCTTTCCTGCCTTCAGGAAGTTGTGTTTCCTCAACAAGTCCCTTCTCATCCTTGACAATCAGGGTGGCTGAGGTCTGGTCAACTCCACATTTGTTTGTGGCTCTGCAAGTAATAACACCACTGTCCCTAGCATAAGCAACTTCATAATCAAGGCTGCAGTATCCAAATTCATTGACCATATGCAACCTATTAGCAGCAGCCAGAGGTTTGCCATCATGCAGCCACTCCACTACCATATTGGGGTCACCAATAGGAGTGAGTCTACACTCAAAATGGGCTGGTCCAAAACACTTCATTCTGATAGATGTCAACTTCTTCTTGAATTGTGGTTTCTGTTGCTTCTCCTTGTCATAAAGATCACCCTCCTCCCACTGCTCTTGGCCGTATCGCAAATGAAGCGGCTCCAACTCGGGTGCTGCAATCTCTTTAGCTTTGTAGGTTCCTCTAGGAATAATGAGCTTCCTCTCGGTTTGAGGGGCAGCAAAGTCCACCTCAACATTGACTCTGCAACGAGTGGTGTCTCTACCAGCCTTGTTGATGGCTGTAGCAGTGTACCAGGCGCTGTCTGAGCCTGAAGCAGATGGAATCTGGAATTTGGCTTCTCCTTTGGTGCCATCAATCCTGAAAAAGTAAAAGGTCACATATACTGAAGAAAGCACTTTTATGCTGCACTGAAAACAAAATATAAAATACTAGATATTACATACTTTATCTGTGGATGCTTGTGTGGGGTGATGATGTCACTGTTTTTCAGCCACACAATGTCTGGCAGGGGGTTTCCAATGGCTTTGACAGCCAACTCAACCAGAGTGCCCTGCTTTACAGTGATGTTTTTCAGCTTTTCAACAAATTGAGGACGTGCCAGGGTTTCTTGAGCTATAGATAGCAAAAAACAACACAATGTCTAACAATATGATCTTTTGGTTAACTAAAAAGTTCAAGAGTGCTATATATCACTCACCATCAACAGTAAGAGTTACATTGAGAGATGCCCGTCCAGCTCTATTCTGAGCAACAACCGTCCACTCTCCAGAGTCTTGTGGTAGGGCTGGGACAATGATCAGGGACTGAGTACCATCCTCTTTAATCACTATCTTGTGTGTGTTATCATTGATCACTTGTTGTCCTGGGAAAAGAAGGGCAAAATGAGTTGACTGAGAGGCTGAATCAGAAAACAAAGGTAGACATCAAGAAATTTTTCTCTGCTACCTTTTCTGTTCTTACCATTGTGGAACCAGTATGTGTCAGGCATTGGCCTGCCAACAACTTTCAAATCAAATCGGGCAGTTTGCCCCTCAGAACATTTTATTGAGGAGGGCTTCATGACAAATACAGGTTTGTATAGTCTTTCAAGCTGAGCCTCATCTGTTTCGTCAAATCGACGGGCAGGAGACTGGCGAGGAGATCGGCTGGAAGAACGCCCTGGGGAGCGGCTCAGAGAACGAGGAGATGTCGATCTGAGAAAAAAGCAGTGTCGTCATTTGACATGGCTGCAGTTAAACAAAACAAATTTTGATGTAAAAAATGCAGTGGATAGAAGCTTTGAAAGCTTTCAACCTGATATTGTGTGCTTATTAAAAGTGTGTGTATTATTAGTGTATTATTAAAGCACCACTATTATTCTGCTAGTCACCAATATTGTCTGTCTTTTTTAAAAGCTAAGCTATAAGCCAAAACATCCAACGTCCAGTTCTCATGGCGATATGTGATTTTCTTAATTTCTTTTTTAATTGTGCCATCATTAGATTACCTTATCCTCTGTACTGCTGGCTGTGGTGTGTATCTCTGCGGCGTTACAGCTTCGGATGGCTCCACATAAAGCTTTCCAGAGCTGACTGCATTTCCCTTCATGTTTGTGGCAAAAGCAGTGTACACGCCTTCATCCTCTGGCAGCACCACAGGCATACGAAGACTGGCTCGCCCATCTTGAAGAACTTCAATTTGGTAACGCGCACTGGGCCTGATGCGCTGGCCATCTTTGTACCAGGCAATCTGGCACAAGATGACAGTAGTTCAACAAAGCTGGCTAAACGCTCTAAAACTGTGAGAGTGCGATGACTCGACAGAAAGCATGAAACATAGCTGTTTGTTGTACTGTCAGATTTAAATGTTTCTCTTTACAGCAACGCTGGAATGGTATTTAGAAAATAATAAATAAAAAAAAAAAAACAACTATATTTCTTGGCAAACCAAATTATTTATTATAAAGCATCACTCTGATATACCCAACTTTGGTTGGATGAGTGAAAGTTGTTTCACTATATGAATGTGTCTCAATACCTTTGGCAGTGGTTTTCCAACCATCTTGCAGTGGAAAGTGACTCCCACTCCCTCCATGATCCTGTAGTTTTTCACTGGTGTGTCAAAGGCTGGCTGCACTGCCTCCTCATCTGCTATAGTCACTACCAGCTCTCCGTCCTCTGCCACAAGCTCTCTGTAAGTAATTCTCATGATACACAGTTCGATCTTCTGTATTATCCTCTCCTCAAAGGCTGAAATGAGGAATTCCTGCAAAAATGATGGACATTAATTATGAACCGTAGATTGAGATCTGTTATCACAGCACTGCAAATGTTTATAGCACAAGTACCGTTTCTGAGACAAAGCTCATCGGGGTTATTGTCCTCCTCTGTTCCAATTCATACTGACTCACGACCACGGAGGGTTCCTGAACCACTGACGTAGTCACTTCAGTTTTATATGTTACATCGTGCTGCTTCATATGTGCTTCATATTCCTCTGTAAACACAGATACGGATACGCAGATAAAGCCAGACACATCTTTTCAAAGTGATTTTTAAAGAAAGTTTAAAACTGCAAAAAACAAAAAAAGGATGCCAGTACCTTCCTCCAACAGGCTGGTGGAAGCTGAAGCTTCTCCGTGGGGATTTTTAGCAAAGATGGAGTATTCTCCGGCATCGTCAGCAAAGGTCATCGAGATCTCCAGTTTACATTCTCCAGTTTCCTTGTAGGCAACTTTGTATCTGATAAGAAAACCAAAACAAGCTAGTGCTTCATCGTCACAGCATGATTTCAAGGCTCAATAACAAATTGTTCTACCTTAATATTTGGTTTGTCACTGCCATTACTTACAAAGTAAAGTGGATTTTTATTTAAAAAAAATAAAAAAACGATATGTTAGAGAGTGTACAACGTACAAAAGACAATGATAGCTGGCTTCAGTTAAGCAAATCCACAAAAAACATTGGCCGGTGATGTAAATATGTCTTTTCAAAGACACTAACCTGCTTTGCAATGACATGGTCATCAGAGGACCACTGTTAAAAGGACCTCATAAAGAAAATATCTGAACTGCTAAACACAGGTAAGTTACCTACATGTTAATAAAGATCATTATCACAGTTGTGGTAATTATTAAGGTCTGATCTAAAACATTAAAAATATTGCAAACATTACAAAACAGCTGACTCATAACGGAGCAGGACTATAACTGTTCCTGTTTGTTCCACAGATAGGAGATGAAATCAAAGAGATCAAATACTTATTTCACTCAGTGACATGCAAATCAATAGATTTCTGGTTGATATCTGTCTCTGTTCATTTCTTTGCAAGTCAGCAAACTCAGATATTCAGCAGGGGATCCATTTTTTTCTGTATGTATTTTATAATCTGTATCACCTGTATCCAGTGGTAAGCAGCACGCCATTCTTTTTCCAGATAATGTGAGGTCTTGGATTTCCTCCAACCTGGCATTCAAACACAACACTTCCTCCCTCCACTAGCTTCTGCACAGTGGGTTTCTTGATGAAGAACGGAGCTGCAGGTTCTCCTGCGCTCAACTCTGTCACTGTCTGCAGCTTTGTTTCAGCTGCAACACTGAAGAGGAGCAATAGCTTTATCAATTCTGCAGCTTTGGATTCTTACATGACTATAAATCTGCAAAGAATGAATCTGACTTTTACAACTCACGTTTTTTCTTGTGTGATTGCAATGTCTGTGACAGCTGTTTCCTCTCTGCTTTCGATTTCTTCTGAAACTACAAGAGAAAGTGAAAGTCAAATTAGTTTGTATAAAACTTGATGATCTGTAGTTTAACATGTTTTAGCATGTCCACAACTTGGACATTTGACTCTGTTGTGTTTATCAATTTTCAAGTGTACCAGGTGACCGCAGGCTCGTGCAAAAATCCAGTTGTTTTTCTCCTCTACAGTAAATTCATTTCCATACGAACTTGTCAGCTTTACTTTGGCTTATCATTCCAGTATAGATACCTTTCACAAGCAGGTAGCAGGAGGTGCTCACAGTTCCTGCTTCATTGGTGGCAGTGCAGGTAAACCGGCCACTGTCTTCAGCAAATGCCTCACGAATAATCAACCTGGCAAATCCGTGCTCGTAGCTGATCTGGAAGTCAATGGAGCTCTCGATCTTGTAGTCCTCCCTGAACCAGATTATGACCGGGGAAGGGTGACTGCTGATTTTGCACTCCAAGGTCACTGACTCACCTTCGGTCACAGTCAGGTTCTTCAGTCCCTGAAATAGTCATAAAGAAGTTTACATCCTGTAAAATTGCCGTACATCCTGTACGGCAATTTTACATCACATTTATATTCTGAAGACAAAAAGGCCTACTAGGAGTAAATAGTGATCAGAATACGCTCTTTAACTCACACGTTAAAATGTCCTCGTCTTGTAATATTGTCAAAATTAAACACATGCTGGAAACTAGTTCATGCATTTGTTACTTCTTGGCCAGACTAATGTAATTCCTTATCAGGCTGTTGTATAAGCTCTGTTACATGGTTAAAAATCGATCCTACATGCTGTAGCGAGAGTACTAAGGGAGAGAAAGAACGATCATATTTCTATAATATTATGTTGTGAATTGTTTTCATGTTCTCGTACATTATTGGGTTCACTTAGCAAAAAATGCAAAAATATATTATTCCTTACATTGAATGTAAAATAGATACATTTGAATCACAAACTGTAATTATGTAGTATTATTATGAAAACTGATGACAGGAAGAGCTTTAAATGTTGCTACCTTCAGTGGCTGTTATGAAGTCAGATGCAGCACTTTGTGAAAGGATCAGTTACCTTACATTCATTGGGTCTTTCCTTTTGATAAAGTGTATGTTTAGGGCTGGATCAGGTTTTCTCTCTGATATTTAAGGTACATTCTTGCCAACTAGCTCTTTATAAATAAGCTGAATTTAATTGGAAACAGGAAGCAGATAGGAAAAGTACTCACAGCAATAAGAGTGGGTGGAACAACAGGCTCCTGGGATCTTGTAGGCACTGCAGCCACCTCCTGCAGAAACCAACAAGACAACTTAAAAAATTGTCCCCCAAAAAACAAAGTATGGGGTTCTGTTAGAATAAAGGGAGAAAACAGGTTAGAGTAGACAAAAATATAAAGAGGACAGAGGGATGAAGGTGAAGCAGCAAAGACAGGAATAAGAGGAGGAGGATTCTTCATGAGGCAGGTGAAAGGCAGCGTATCAGTTGCTGCTGCGTTAAGATAGGTAGAAGAACTCAGGTGAACATCCACACAGGATTAAGTTGAGGAACGATAGGAATGATAGCAGTGAGGACATCAGACCAACCTGAGGCTCCCATTCCTCAAATTCTTCCTCACTAAACGCATAAGCGCCTCTGCTGTCAAGTTGAGTCTTATATCGCACATCTCTGAACGGTGGTGGGAAGGGCTCAGGTATCACATGAACCTCCACCGCCGCCTGTCGAGACGGACTGGGAGATTTGACTGGCTTGATGATCTTTCTGGGAGTTGAAGGGGAGGATAGCTCTTTGTGCAGTGTAGCGATGGCAGAGCCAGCAAGGGACACCTGATCAGCCAATGAGAACAGCATTAACCATCACACACAGATAGTGAGTCCAAATTCTGCTGGGGATTAGTGAGCAAGAGACACTGAACCTAAACAGGAAATCTAAACCAGCTAAAAACGGACTAGAACTGAAACAGGTTGAGAAACAGCAACTGTTTCTTTGCTGTGACTGATTTAATCCGTGAGGTGGGATTATCTGATGATAGCTGATTTAGATGGTTTTTCCACGAGGTGACTGCTTCATCTATTCTACAGATTACTACTCTGAACCAAAACACAAAGTCATATCTAAGAAAAAAAAACAGTGTTACTATTGCTGTTATATAATAACCACAAACTATAGCTAGTGGATGTTATGATGGGGTAGTCCTCAAAAGAAACAAATGCTGTGGTAGGATGGATGATACTGTGAGGACGGGATCAACGGGGATTAGACTGAAGGAAAACTGTATGTTAAGATGTTCACATTCAAATGAAGGTTTTGGGACGACGATGGCCTCAAGCTGTTCTTCTTACCTCATGTCTAGGTTCATGTTTAGGAACAGAAACTTTAGAAACTGTGAAATGTGGAACTGGGGGCTGGACGACACCAGTGTCCACACAGGAGAAGATTTCTGTTGTTCTCTGAATCTGGAGTAATCAACAGAGTGTGTTAGGATAGTTGATGCTCCATATCATTAAAATGAGACGTAAGTAACTGAATTCAGGGAACTCGTCCAACCTGAGAGACCTGGACTCTGTGCTGCTCTGCAGACACAGCAGGCTCAGTAGGAAGTGTTTTTGTTGCAATAACTTGTTTCTCTGCAGTTGCTGCCGCCTGTTGCTTTATCCTCAACTCCACATCCTCCTCTTCCTCTTTCCGAACACCCTCCCCATGCACAGGCTTGAGGACACGAGCAAGGTCAACAGCGGCCACCACTGTAGCCACTGCCTCAGCCTTTTTTTCTCCCTCATCCTGAAGACACAACAAGCAGCACACACATCTCAGAGAAGACAATGCTCCACCAAAAGCCTTAAGGACCGAAAAAAACACGACAAATCCATAAAGTCACGCAACACAGAAGTGAAATATCACGCAGTCTTCTATCCAAGATTCACAACTTGAGGTTCAGTATCTTGTCCAAGGATACTTGGCATGCAGATCGGAGTAGCCATGGATCAACTCATCATCCTTCCAGTTATTAGATGAGCTGCTCTACCATCCTGATCTGCAGTCACCTGATGAATTAAATGCATAAGGTGGCTGTGGGAAGACACAAATCCAGGGCACTGTCGCAGGAACTCGAGCCCTCAGTATGTGGGTCATTTTCTCAACAATGTGACCAAACACTCTCTCTTTATCCTGAGCCAAAAACTTCTTATGTAAATGATGCAGTGCTGGCTATTTTAATAATTGTGTTTTGTACAGCACTTTGTGATTTTTTTGCCTGTAAAAAGTGCTCTATAAATAAACTTTTCTTCTTTACTAGAATGTCAATAAACCTGCTGTGTATGGTTAAAATGGGACCTTCCTTTTTTCTCTTATCATTGCTGACTAGTGCAGCGTCTAAACTTAACAGTCTTATTAAGAGTGGAGTCAGATTACCTCTTAGCTTTGAGGGGCAGATGTCTGTTGCACTGTAATTACCCTTGCTGTTCTACGTGCACTACATGTTTTACAGCCGCATTAAAGAGGACCATGGCGAGTGGGAGTCAGCTGGCCTGGCATCTTAGAGCTGAGCAAGAAAAATATGCGGGACAAAAAGTCACACTTGAAGCATCAAAATGATCGTCCACAAACCAATGAATGTAGTCGCTACATCCATCTTTTTTATACAGTCTATGGTTACAGCATGTGATGTTTACACTGCACAGCTGTTGTTTACGATACAGATTGCGTTATCCATCTTTGTACTGCAAGGCCAGCTGTTCAGTCTCAACTCCTCCAGTCAGACTTTGTCTGGGAGCAACATACTACAAACTGCCCCTGATGCACCACTAAATGTGAATCAGTGAAAATGGTTTGTAATTTTAAGCTTTTTATATGTGTGTGAATGTGTTGATGGATGTGGTGTAAAGCGCTTTGGGGTCCTTAGGGACTAAGTAAAGCGCTACACAAATACAGGCCATTTACCATTTATGCCTACAAACTCAATTCTAAAAGATCTCACAGAAACGTCTTGTTTGCAAACTGATTTAGAATTTTTCAGCCACACCTTCTTAAAAAGAGCTTTGTTTTTTCTTTGGATTGAACATACATTTTTCAAAACTGACCCTTTTGCTGCCCAGAGCTTGATTGTTACTGATATTATCTCTATGATGAGTTCAATTCGATAAATATGATTTTAAGGTTATGAGTGAATTCAAAACAGCAACAATGTCCTGAAGGAAGACTGGGTCAAAATGACAAAGAGTCACGCTCTGGCAAACAGGATAATCACATTAGAAGCCACAGCTAATAACCAAGAAAGGACAACGTTGCATTAAAAGAAAAGAAAAGAAGAAGACAGAAAGAACAGAAAATAAATGCATGTTCACTTTACATCCAATAATCGGCACAGCTGGGCCAACATGTTCACAACATAAAAGTTAGTGATGTCAGTTTAAAAAGCAAAATTAAAAACAGAGTATTTGTCCGTGTTCATTCTGCAGTCACAAACAAAACGCACTAACATGTCAGGTTGGATGTACTGATTGAGTTGAGTTAACCAGCATGCAGGCTGTACCACTCTCACCTCTCTGGTGGCAGCCACCTGCTGCTCCCAGTGCTTCTCCATGTGAAGCTGAGTGGTGCTGCTGACAGCGGTCATGCTTGCCATGCTGGTATAGCTCGCCTCAGTCGCGTAGTCTCCCTGTTTCCAGGGCGGCAGAACCTCTGCAGAGGTAGATACCTGCAAGTAGTCGATTGAGGTTACGCTTTATCTAACACACGTTCAAAAAATGAAGGTCTGCAGATTTTAACATCAGTTGTGCTTCGAGAGACAGATCAAAGCCACTTTATGAACCAGTTTTCAAACTTTATTCATTGTGTTTTATTTTTCCTCTGTATCCTGATGTTACATGTGATCTCCTGCAGATTTTCATGTTGCCTCTAAAAATTGTTATTACTATTGCCAAATGCTGTAATTTCAGTTACATCATATATACATATATACTTTCTAACAGTAACTTACACCCTGCATCTCTGCAGGAAGACAAGAACAACAATACCAGAGAAAACAGGACTGTTCCATCAGTGATCAATAATATTTGTACAAAAACTAGCTGGTATTGAAAATCAGAGTCACTAATTGTGTTGCTACCGCACACCTGAAGATGGCACTAATACAGTTAAATACATGGAATATGCAGCATTTCATGTTTTTTTGGTATTTGCTGATGAGCAAACTGAAAAGCCAAACAAACCGAGGCATGTACACTAAGTCACTGTTACAGCATCTTGACAGTGAAAGTGGACTCCAGATAGATGCTCTGACCTGTTTCCTGGTCATGATGGGAGACTTGACTGGTCGGATGGGAGAAACAGACAGTTTGGTGGATGGAGACACTGGTCTGTAGACGACAACACGTAGATCAGTCAGTTCATGTAGTCAATTTAGATGACCACCTGCCTTCACTGAGATCACAGTTGCATACCTGACAGGTGTCGGTGTTGGCCCTTTCACATGTCTGACAGGCGAAGGGGACTGCTGACGTCCTGCCGTCACCTTGGAAACATAGGACGGCGGGGACTTGGAGGTCGGCTTTGGAGGAACCCGTGGGGGGGTTTTGTGAGCCAAATGCTGAGTGATCATTCCTTCTCCTACATGGATCTCCCTCTTAGTGGAGGCCTGGAAACTAGTCTCCACCTTCAAAAGGGGAACATTTTATATTTACTAAGAAATGAGATATGAACATGACCTTTAAACATTAATTCCACACTCTGTTACTTTTTCATGCATTTTTTTTAGCAGTACTGTCACCATAACATGACAATCAGGCAGAAGTACCTGAATAATACTGGGAAAAGAAATATTTACTATTTAAGAACTATGCTTTCTACTTTAATCAACTTAAACTCAGATAATTGTTCCCTAGAACACTTGGTTATCTCACCCTCTGTACTCTGCTCTGGGAAGCCGATATTTGGGATGTGGAAACAGTCTTCAGTTTCTTAGCTGGCACAGCTTCCTCACCTGCAACAACAATAAAAATGAAAGTTTAGGTTGATTAATTATGGTAAATTATCATTTAACACATATTAAAAAGTGGAGTATTCAATTATTATGAGGATTATGCGTTTCCACATAAAATATTTTGACCAAACTTGACGTATTTGAAGAATTAATTAAACTGTGGTGCTTACCCTGAACTAGCAATTCGGCAGTGGAGGTGGCCCGTCCGCTGTTGTTGGTGGCAGTCACAGAATATGTCCCAGAGTCCTCTGGGAAGGCTTCAGCGATCAACAAAGTATACAGGTCTCCATCTTGGAGGATCCTGAAGTCGGCCGAGCTCTGAATCTCGGCCCCTTCTCTGTAGAACTTCACAGCTGGTGTTGGGATTCCTGTCACTCGCACATCCAGCCTCACCTGGCTGCCTTGTCTCACTGTTAAACTCTGAAGTCTTTGAAGGAAATTTGGAGGCGCCGTCTCCACTGCAGAGATAGAAGATTAGCTTGATTTGAATGCTGACCTGCCCTTACCTAGCAGTAACCTAACTAAAAGCACCAAAGACTAATAAACAAAAATGAAGAGTTCTAATCTGGTAACTGCAGGTTACATCCATTTCTGTGCAGATAACAAATCTGCTATAACGATGTGATGCTGTCGTGTCAGTGTGGACCAAAAACACCTGCTATCTCATGAAAAACTGAAAAATGGAAAGAAATTGAACCAGCCTGGTACCAGAAGTGTCTCTGTGTACATAATAAAATGAGTCCTGATGTCTTTTATATTATCGTTAATAAATTAAAATCAATGATTCAGACCTCAGTGGGTTTAAGTTTGTTAATAACTTTATGCAATGAAATGCTGCAACAGCTGCAT